ACGCAACTGTACGCAAAATCTTCAGCAATTTACTACAAAAGTCAATACAAGGTCGCCTTTAGAACAGCTGAACAGTAACATGTCGACTGAATATTCTTCAAGGGACTCAAAACCTCGACCGTAAGTATTTTTCTATATTTTGTTAGGTATGATTCATATCAAAACACCTTACAACAGAAAGTTCTTATATTGTTTTAAACTGATTAATAATCGTTATTTCCTAAAATCTGTTTTTACTTAATAACATTAGCTCTCGTTTTTTCCTCCTGCGCGTTTTGCTTTGATAAATTTTAACGAGAAGCTGACCAGTTTTCTTAGTGGTAGAAATGTGGTTATATATAGGCTCAGGAAATAACGCAATAGTCTTCTATTTTTTGTCCATGGATAGACTCGATATGAAAAGTAAAGCCTCTGTCAAATAGTCTCACGACATTTTATCTTCCAAATTCACTGTTTCGGCCTCAGTCCAGATATTGTTGACCAGCTTGCTCATTTGAATGATTGATCAACCACTTCAAGTTAATTTTTTTTTTCAAACTGTCAAAGTACTTGTTTCAAGTTAGGAGCTAACTGGAATTTATCTTTTTGGGCTCACTGGAGTAAGTATCTATTTTCACTCATTTGTGTTTTTTTATTATTTCAGCCCTAATATGCATATGGGGATTAATATCGATTCAGTATCAAGTCGAGATTATATATCTGATAGTTCTATGCCTCCAACCTCTCTTTGGGGAACGGCTTCAAACGTAACCACTTTGGATCGCGGACATAGTAGTCGTCACAACTTTCGGGCCCCGTCTTCACATAAATGTGAGCTATTTCTCCTCCTAGTTTGTCATTAAGTGTGACAGATTTATTTGATGTGAGACATTGCTGTTCATTTTAGCCGGAGTCAGTTCAAAAGTCTCCCCAACCGAGACCGATTTACTCCGAGAAGCCATTCTCACTCTCTCTGGTGCCAGCGGTTCACTAATTCAATATGATCCCACTCTAGATGCCTTTGTGGTTCGTTTACGCTGTTTTTATTTTATATTCTAATTTTTCATATCGAAATTTGTTAGATGGTTCTGCCATATTTTTGGTGATCCCTCGAATTGATAAGCTTGTACTCTGACTTACAATTAAGCGTAGATTATTCCTTAGAGATCGCCCCTCTGCCTATTGATTATATGGCATAGAGAAAATATATTTGCGTCTCTATTAAGGGTAGATATGTTTTACGGTGATACATTGGAAGTGATAATTTATTTGTTCTGTGATTCGGCTTTGGCCATCCCACAGTCATTTCAATTAAATGCTTAATTATATCATCGTCTTTCCAGTATTAACCGCCGGTCGTGCTCCATAACACTGGCAACTACTATTACAAGTTAGGGCCTTGTCGGTAAAAATTCAAATTAAATACACTGTGTGTGCTGGTGGCGTCGCAGTGTTAAACCTGTTTGATCACGAAATCAAGGGTCATTTAATCAAATTTCATTAGTGACTTCATGGTCGCTATGTCTTATATTGAGTTTCTCACCAGAGTGGCTCAATGATCCCCTACACTAATTTAAAATAAAAGTCGGGAAACGATTTTCTATGTGTGCTTTCAAATTGTTTGCTATTATGTACTGACAAAATTGATTATCTTGTCTTACTTACTCACTCCAAGTTGTTTTCTAATGTAATACTATTCCACATTCAGTGTAATTGTTTTTTTAGCTATCCTGCTCTTCTCAATTTGCAATAAAAATTTAAATCATAAAGGTTAATAAAATGTTTACCTTAAAGCCTCGCATACGCATTTTTGTCTTCCACTTTTTCGATCTGGGCCCCATTATTAGAATGATGCCCTTTCTTTGTCAATAGAATAGAGTTCATTTTGATCGTCTTCGATTGGGCTCTATTAGTTCTAGAATGCCATTGCCAATTTCATCTACCTGTTCATAACTTAGTTGGTGGGAATGAAACAATGAAACTAATAATTAGACTAAAGTTGCCGGTTGGCCTTTTGAACCAATCCAAATACCCAGGGGTCAAATACTGGAAACTGAACTTTTGAACACCCAAGTATTATAATGTGTACAAATTAATTTTTAACTAATTTAAATGAAGTAGGACTCCTTTCTGATCATCCTCTATTTTTCCTTTGCTAGTGTGTTTTGCCGTTTCTTATGTTTCGAAGCCGTTTTGTGATTTTAAAGATGTAAAAGTTGTTAGCATTACGATAGGAATTAACCCTAGTCATGTTTTTGTTATAATTGAATATTAACCTGGTGCAATTTTTCCCCGTCTCTTGTTATGACTAAAATTCAGCGCTGCCACTTTGGCTTTGGTTTCTGATTAAACATTGTGTATGGGCAGTAAGCAATATTTGTGGTAATTTTTTGTAGCACTCGTTCTTTTAACCAGTACGTTTGCTCGTTCCAATTACTTACTAAGTGCTGAGAGGCGAGCAGACATAATACTGCGAAATGTCTAACTTATATCCCCGTTTTATTGTTTTTGATCTTATGGACTGATTTACTGAGTTTGTATCTTCTTTTTTCCTCCAGCCTGCCCGCCATCTTACTCTCCCACCCTGCCTTCAGACGCATGTAATGCGAATTTCGGCCTGTGGATGGCTTTATAACCGCGTCCGAAGCTACGTCAACGATGTTCGTGATGATCCAAACTCCGGTAAAGTCGCCCTCTCCCTGGCCCTTTCAATCGATGATCAGCTAACAGAATACCTCAAACTCGTTTCTACCTTTGAAGTAAGTCCTTGTAAATTTACTTGTTTCTATTTTTTTAAGGGTATTAATGAAAGGCTCGACCCTCCCCCTCTTATTTTAGGCCCAGATGAACTACGAGAGTGGTGAGACCCTTAGAAATCCCACAGAGTTTAGTGTCCAGAATTCTTCGACTCGGAGCAGAGAGAATACTCTCAGCAGACCCAGGGGGTTTGATTCAGGAAGTATGTCTATCCTGGAAGAACACTCGGGGACGGAAGGAACAGAGAGACAACCGTTGACTCTAGTGCAACTCCGGCACTGGCTCATAGAACCTGAACGCAGGCTGAAGGTGCTTGCTTCTCTGGTAGATAACTGCAGGTCACTGAAAGGAGGAGCTCTTGTTTCAAAGGTCTGTGGTGTTTGTTTAGACTTATTCTTAGTTATTGCAGTCTGCGTGTATTCCATTTTTATATTTTTAATGTCTTCAATTTCTTTGACTTTATTTGGCACTCGTTAGAATATGATCTTTAAGTAATGCTTAAGTGGATCAATATTTATTTAAATTAAATGGCAGGCTTTATTATACTTATCATTAGTCCTTTAGTTGATTTCGGGCTTCAAAGAGAAGAGGAATATCAGTCGAAAAAAGTCGAGAAGGGGGGGGACAGAAGCATGATTCACAGATGTAAAAAAACTAACACAAAGGTAGAGAAAAAGGTAAGGTAAGGTGAGTACTTTGAAAGTGTTGGAATATGACATACAGTGTGGTCATGGTAGTTTGAATTCAGAAGTCAACTACCGGTTTATAGACTTTTTGCCATTTGCATATACGTTGCCCACGGTGCAACACGTGAAGGCAAGTCTACCATACACCCCGTGGACCAATATAGTCGTTTGTATAATCGAATATATGTTATTTTAAGGCTTATAGTAAAATAAGTAATTCAGCTTTTTCTCTTTAGTTTATCTCACATTGTGTCTTGGCGAAATTCTTTTGAATGCTGAGTATTAAGAACTTTGATCAGCCTTTGTTTTCTTCCTACTACGTTTTCATTTATCTTTGAGTTTTTATTGTCTAGGAAAAAACGCCCACAATCGGCAGCTTTGGAGCTCATTGATTTATTCAAATTCTGTTAAGGTTGGAAGTAGGGCTTTTGAATTTTGGAAACGAGAAACACATTGTTGGCTAATTTAGCCGGGACTTTGTATAAGTGTTCATTATTGTTCTCCTTATTTACGTAATGGTTCAGAAGATATTTGGAGGTGGGAACTAACTAGCCAACTTAGTCCTGGAAACTCAAAGTTCAAGTCCTTGCTGCTGAAGTTTGATAGCGAATTTCCCATTATTTCATATTCACTCTAACATCGTGTTATCATCTATCGTTATCCCATTTACCTTCCATTGCCCACACGATAAAGACTTTTCTCACTTTATTTCTCTCTCATTCAGGTTTATGAGATGTCTCAAAACGGTGGACCGAAGATCAAGGCTATGCTCACTGTCATACTTGAGAATGTGACACGAACTATATTTGAAATGATCTCCCTGTGGATTTATGACGGACGTCTCCCGCCTGACATGAATCAGGAATTCTTCATCGCTGTCTATCCCTCTGTGGGACGGGAAAATCTCTGGGTTGGTAAATATTGTCTCCGCAAAGGCATGATCCCCGAATTCATCTCTAATGAGCAGGCCCGAAAGGTTCGTGTGTTCATCTTTATTTGCTATAACTTTCACTGTTAGGTGCTAACAATGAGATATTTATTTATTTATTTGTTTCAAATGGCAGGCGTTTTGATAGTTATCATTAGCCATTTAGCTGACTTCGGGCTTCATAGAGAGGAGGAGGAACATCAAAGTGAAAAAATAGTCAAGAGGAGGGGGGGG